AAGGACGTGTGGTTACTTGAGGGAGGCATTGCGCTGCCAAGAGCGAAATGCTCGCAGCTAAAGGGATTTGAAAACAACAACAACAACAACGTGTTCTGTAAAGTTACCTGGCGGTCCGATGAGTCGGGTCTGTAGGGGGCCCCCGTCCAAGATAAGTGTTGCCTCGTCGTGGTCCTGAGTCCGACTGAATACCTCAGTGAGTCTCTCAGACGATATCTGCCTATTTCCCGCGGAACCCTTGACGTCATCCAAGGGCGTGCCACTCCCTTAAATATCTTGTCCCCTCAGTAAAGATAAGAGTCATGTCCCTTGACATCACAGTGTTAGAATCTGTCCACGCCTTCATTTGTCACCGACAGTTTGGGCACGGAGAGCAAGGCACAAGGCTGTGTCGGGCACAGACAGAGAGACGTTTCACCACGACAGGTTCGCCAGTCACACATCACACAACGTCCAAACTTTCACTCCAGAGTCCACAGAAACAAAAACGCAAAATTACAGCAAGGCACCTTTTCAAAATCATAGTTTCAATTCAGCTCTACCAAGAACAGCAAGTTGCAGATAAGTCAAGTTCGACAACAACTTCAGAGAATGTTTGAAACTAAATCCTAATAAATATTTCAAGTTGGAACAAAATCTTTCTCAGAATGTGTGAGATGTGCATTTTAAGCTGCTACAAAGGAAACATGACTCTCCAACAACCTCGCAACTAGAAGCAGCTCTTCAACACGAAGGGGATGGAAAAAGATAAAAAATTACCACACGTAGATTTACAAATTTAAGCGACTACACACCAACTTCTTCCCAGGACATAATTTGTTTCCAACAACAGCACAAGCAGTGAAATATTATGCAGATCAAATATAGCAAACATCACAGCTGAATCAATCCTCATATATATATATAACAATGACACACGAACCTACCACCCTCACCATCACAGCTCAATCACGTAGACAAGGCAACATGAACATGCTCTGACCAACATCTAAGACAATTGAAATATACACAAAGGAACGTAACAGGTGAAAATTTACAAAAATAGTACAGGTTTAATGCCTCTATCAACGTTATTGGGTTTTTAAAATGTTGGACCTCCAAATTTAATGTCTATCTCTGAAAGGACCAAGCCGATTGGGGAGTCCGTGTAAAGTGCACTTGGACACAACGTTGTACTGAGCTGGGGCTTGAACCCCCAATCCCACAATTACGAGTCTGGTCGCCCAACCACTAGGCAGCAGACACTACATGTAACAGGTGAGACAATCTAAATACACAAAGGAACATACCAGGTGAAGAGTATCACTGAACCGAGGCAACAACTGACCGTCAACTACTGTTCCTCAAAGACACACATATAAATCCGCTCTGAAAGAACACACATGACCTCAATGAGGTCATTTCAAAATGAACACCGCATCTCCCTTCCCAATAACAAATACTGATCCCAATCACCCCCCTAATTTTCCCAAACTAAAACCCAAATTCGAACAAAAAAGTACATATAAAAAAAAAAAAAATTAAAAATTAACATCTCAGCTAAGCTGCCATCAATAACAGCAGGAACGCTGCTGAGGGAGTATTACAGTAGTAGATTCAATTAACACCGCCGCACGTACAGAACATTTTCACTTCTCCGACATAAAATCTTCACAATTCCATGACCTGCATCTCTAGAGGCACTCTTATGACCATACATGCTTGTGAGCACAGTAAAACTCTTACTACCAAACTGAAACAGAGACTTTACGTAAAGAGTAAAGATCCAGAAATAGAGCAACACACATCAGAATTCATTTGATGGTCTGTCACTAGATGATTGGGTCTCATCTTATTGGTGGGCAGTGGTAACAGAGAATTTATCACCCATTCAAAGATTCGACCCACAGGGTGGGTTTACTTTGTTTTCATCTTTAACGTTTTAAATTTGAAGTTGACAGGTGTTGTGAAAAGCTTGATAGTCATACAGTACTTGCTACAGACACAGTACTGCTTGACTGTAAATAGAACACGACGAGTGAATGAACTGTCCACTAGCAAAGGAGCATCTACACAGTCCAGATCTCAACTGAGGATGACACATTATAGGGGCACATTATTCATTGCTTTCATAATTTCACAATGGATAAAATCATTCATCAGTTGAAGTCATTCGCCTCTATTGCCTCACATCAGAAAGTTCCTATTTGTACCTCACTTCAAATAGAAGACAATTTTGTTTTAGAACAGCGACGGGGAGTCCACTATGACCTAACTTTTCCACGCACTTCTCCCTCCCGTCATTTACAACAACAGTTCCCAAAGCTGGGCCCTGACCCTCCCAGTCTCAGCCACTGACCGGTCAACCACTCCATCACTAAAAAGAGGTGTTTTCCTAGCTGGGAATCCTCCCAAAAAATCAAGAGCTTCTGGAAAAATAATTAGAGGAACCCCAGATAATGAAATAAAAATTACAAACGAACAGTAGTAATGAATTTAACATGTGTATATAGTAATTACATGAAATTATAATAATAATAATAAAAAGAAGAAGAAGAAGAAGAGTTCAACTGTCAGCGTCTGACAATGCCCAATACATTAGCAGAAGAAAATGTTTGTCAAGCGAAATAGAAGAACTACTGTAAGTATTAAAAGTTAAGATGACTTGTGGCTTCATCTATGGCCAATGAGACCGCGATTCTAACAGACAAAAGCTTGTCACACATTGAGCATTCAAAAGCTCCACTTCAACTTGTGAACATGCGCAGCTTAAGCTGGATTATCTACTGGTTTTTACAGGCAAATAAAAATGCGAATACTTACGCCATGCAAATATTGAAACCCCTCCCCCCCCCCTCTGCATTTTCATGTCAATTCCATTAAAAAGTCAGTTACGACAGGTAAAAAAAAAAATCAGATTATGCAAGTCCCATCTATCGGGGTCCTTCGATTGAAAACAAAAGAAAAAAATCTGAGGCTGAGGGCTCCGGTTTAATCGGGATGCTTTTACAGTAGCGAAGCATCATGTGGCGAGAGTGTATGGAAGTGACAAATTATTTCTGAAACTTAATAAACAATAACACATTTCTCATCAATAATCTATTCCTTCTCACAAGTGAGTATTAATATCAATTCTACAGACATGAACGGGGACTTCTTCTTCATACTTCCTACATGATAAGTACCTACCACTAGGACCGCACAACAGAAAAACACCAACCCCTTCCTCCCGTTCCGTCCAAAAAGAAAAAAACCAGCAAACCGACAAATCAATTCAAAATATTCATGATAATAGTAAAACAGAAAGAGCCGTTTGGTTGACAAAAAAACCAACAAACCCCCCCCCCAAAAAAAAACAAAAAACAAAAAACAAGGTTTCACAATTATTCCAATATATAGAAATACTCCGTGGAATGATAATTTCAAGATGGAGGGTTACCCAGACAAAGCTTCAACCCAGATCAGCCCTGAGCAATCACGAAAGGCCTCATCAGAACACCCCTCTGTAGGATGTGTTGAAAGAAGACAAGACTTGCGAGAGAAGAACTCTCTCCTCTAGAACCGTGTTGGTCTTCTGGTCGATTCGTTGTCTCGACACAAACGGGTAGGCATCTTTCAAGACGGAGCAAGGGAGGTGAGACCTGTCCTCTTTGGGCACCAGGTACCTCTCCCGCCGCATAAAGGTTCTGGAGTAGCAGTCATCAGAGATCGGGGAGCCGTACTCCAGACGTAAAAACTCCACAGGCTTGCGGGGGATGGCTATCGGCCACCCCTCAAACACACCTTGGGCAGGGGGGAGAACCCAGTCTACTGGGGCAATGATTGTTGGCTTGAGCCAGATGGTGAGCGGCCACACGTGCTCCGAGTCATTCCTGTAGAGGAACACGTCGATGAACGGGAACTTGAGGAAGGACTCGCCTTGCCATAATTCCGCGTCTTTGTGGAAAAGTTTCCACATGTAGTCGGAGCCCATGTTCAGCTCCAGGTCAGGAAGACAGGAGAGGACTTTCCTCGCCAAAGGCCATTTTTCGCTGTCGATAAACATATCGACGTCATCATCCCAGGGCGTGAGGCCATGGTGGCGCCAGTAGCCAATCAGAGTGCCGTCGGAGACGTAGTATGAGATGTTGAAGGCGGAGAGAGCCTGGGTGGTGGACAGCATGGCGAACAACATCATCTGCTGCTCCCGGCCTGTCAGCGACGGCTGGTACTTGTTCAGGACAGCCGCCAAATCCTTGTCTAACGACCGCTTTTTCTTACTGGCGAAACGAAGAAATTCCTCTGCACTGTAATGAGGCATGTCATCCAGTTTCGGCATTTTTACATTTTCCAACCGTTTTTTGACGAAGTCACAGGACTCTGTGTACTCACTCCGGTCCACGTAGAAAAACAGATCAACAACATGGATGCGCGCAACCTGTAAAAGAAACGTCAAACATGAAGATAAAATTTATCAGAGCTAAAAATCATATCAGCCCTCTATGAGCCAAGGGTTGATACTTAGAGAGCAGAATAGTCTCAGAGACTATTGAGTAAACAAGTATTGTAACGACAGATGTTATTCGCAAAGAAGCATATGAAATAATCTGAACATAAAGGCACTTATGTCTGTATACTGATAAAGGAACTGAATGGAATAATATATCTTTCTCCCTCCCACCCCCCACCTCAAGATCTCAACATAAGTCACTAAAGAATTAGTTCAGTGACACCTGAATAAAATCTTCTCTGGCATTGAGAAGAGCTGTCTGTACGGTAGGCTAGAGTTTAGGCTACCGAGCTCGTAATCGTAAGGTTGAGGGTTCGGGGGTTCAAACTGCAGGCCCGATGTGTGGCCTTGAGAAAAGAACTTAATACAAATGTAAATGTTCCTCACTTCCCCCTGGTGGGAATGGATACTCGGCCATAGACAGCGAAAGATCTCGTTAGTAAGTTAGAGTTCTAGTGCCTATAACTGGCAATATGTCTTGCAAAGTACGCTTCCCAGGAAGCTGAGATCGTTTCAGAATGCTATCAGGTCTGCTGGGGTAATAGTATAGATTGTATAGTGGATAGAGCTTGCTGTTGAGAGGGAATTTGTGCCATACAAACGGTATCTACTACTATTGTTTTATAACACAGAGTTGGGTGATCTTCAGACAGAGATGTCAGGGAATGTTCAGTATCACTGAAAAGTCGACACAAGTGGATGGAAATGAGAAAGTAGCAAACATGCAAAAAAACTGTGCTTTTTCAAAATAGTTCTACGCTTTACCAGGTGTGACTATGAAAAGAAGATGGAGATGTTTGGGAGATGTTTTGAGAATGATGCCAGAGATAAATTTGTCTTATCAGATATGCGGCTGGAGACCAAATGGATAAAGAAGAAGAGGCAGACCAACTGGCAGTTTTACGAGTACGATCAGGGACGAGCAATCATCCAGGGTCTGGTTGTGACAAAGCAAGAGGAAGGGGCCAGGAATAGACAAGTCACTACCCTACCTTAGAATTACAAAGTTCTAACTGACATTTTTGGCTGTTTTGAGTTGTTAAGACCATGAGGTCAGAAATGAAATGCTTTATCTGCTCTATCAAAATCATAAGATTATTCTGAGTCGTTATCAAGATATTAAAAGAACTGCATTTGAAAAAGCTTGAAATATTGTGAAACTCACCATTTGTTAGGATAAATGTCTCAACACTAGGTACTAAGCAGATAGAACTTTGTAATGCTGAGGAAGCGAAGTGTGGCATCAAATGCCTGTCTTCCTGCGTGCGACGGATGAAGCAGGGAGTTTGTGATTATGACTGACGGATGATGTAAGGAGTTTGTGATTACGACTGACACTCTACCTACGCCTCTGATGCAGGGAGAGAGAGAGCAAGCTGATGTATAGGAAAAGCTACAAACCCCTCACCTTAAGTTTTAGTAAGAGTTTTACAGCACTTGCAACACAATAAGGTCATATAAGTGCCGAAGATAAGAGGTGTTACGAGAGAGTAACAAACACAAAACAAGGAGGAGAGATAAGGACGACGGTTGTTTGATAGGAAGGAAAAAAGCAAACGACACCACAGCACACGCCAACCACCCACTCCCCTCACCTTAATCGTACTCAGGTCTCTGAACACATGAGGCCAGCCTGGGATGACCACGTTCCTCAGAGGAGTGATCAGAAACACAAACGCGACGACCACAATCAACACTTTAAGGCGAGCTCCCAGCTTGTGTTTGACCCAAAATGAACGCAGCTTCGTGTACCGAGCCATTGTCGTTGGTTCCTCACTCAGCCTGGGACACGAATATATCAACCCCTGAAATGAGATGAGATTTGTGCTGTTGAGTGGACAACATGTATATTTCGAAAGAAGAAAAGACACAGAACACAAATATACATGTAAATTTTCTTTCATTATGTGTCAACATTAGTTCAGAGAGAAAATGGCATGAGAACTTGACACGAAATTGATGCCTCGCCTCGCTCCCGCACACTTTCACGGTGCGCAAAGTTGCATTGTTGGCCTACCTAGTCAAAGTTTGGTGGCTATGTGTATATATATATATATATATATATATATACAAATAAAATATGGCATCGTAGTGAAATCAGCCACTTGTCAGAATAATGAACATTAATGAAATCAAAGAAACCAACGTTTTTTCAACCCACTGGGCAATTTTAAAATAAATTTTTAAAATTTAAGCACATCATAATAATATGCCTATTTAAAAACACATTTCAGTGCATATTTTCACCAACAAAACCCATCAAAGGCACACAAATAGGGAATTTCCAGTTCTCAAGGACACCTAACTTTGAAGTCCATTTTTGCACTAGTTTTGCCCCCTTGACATCAGGTGATTCCTACCTTTTTCACTCACAAATATTTCAACTTCTATTCAAAACAGTAGGATATTTTTTTTTCATCAAAAGCAAGACAAAATGAAAAGGCTCTCAGATGATGCTGATAACCCTATATATATATATATATGCCCTAAAATTGACGAAAACCCCATTCCGTTGCGTTGTGATACATTATATTTATAAATAAATAACAGATAAGACAATACTTTATTATCCCAGAGGGAAATTTCTCTTGGCTGTACAGGACAATAAAAACACACAAAGGAACATAAAAAATTTAAATTATATATTACTCTCATAAAAAATCAATATGAAAAGAGAAGTAGTCCGTTTATTTATATGCTTTTTATTTTTTTTTATACGAGTGGTGTAAATACATTTCATCAATTCTAGTAAAATCAAATCCAGAGATCTTGCTGGCTTTCTTAACGGTTTTGTCAAATTTTTCTTTATCTTTCACCTTACAATTCCCACCCCAGCAGCACAAAATAATAGCACACTTTCAATCATATAAGGAAGAGGCTAGCCGTACTTAATGACGTATAGCCGGGCAAGCCATACTTATATGATGGCTAGACGAATTTTAAAAAAAAAAGGTAATTGTACATACATTTTTAGTCTGCAGTACCTAAAGTATTTGTATTTGAGACAAAACCAGGTACCTTACTGACAGTGCATGTATTTTAAACTTGAAATACTAATGAGACTTGTTTTCTAATGTTAATAGGCCCTAAGATAAGTATGTACTTAAGTACGGCTAGACAGCTAGGCTAGCCGTATTTAAGGACGGTTAGACTGTCATGCTAGCCGTATTTAATAATGATGGCTGAATTGTAAATGAAATTTTTAGTTTGCAATGCCTAAAGTATTTGTGTTTCAGACAAAACCAAAAGGTGCCTTACTGACTTGCATGCATGTATTTTAAACCTGAATAATTACTAGATCTAAATCTAATGAGACCTGTGTACTCAATAGGTTTGAGTAAACCTAGATCTAAGTACGGCTAGACTGGCATATAATAATGATCATATAATGGTATAAAAGGGACATAATCTTAAATCAAATTATCAACACAGAAACTTCTTAATTTCCTAAACAGAAATATATTCTTTGGTTTACTTTTCATGCACAAGAGTAGCGTGGGGATGCCAGTCAAGTTTGTTATAAATCGATTGTTAGACCAAGATACTTGTAAGTAGGAGCGGGCACGAGCTGAGAAGAGTACCGGTTTCTCGCGAGAAATGCCCTTCCCGTCACTTCCCAGTCACTTAACTACTGCCCGGTACCCAGAAGTGATACCGCTCGATGGCTTGACGTAACAAGTAACGAGAGTGAGATGTGTCGACGGAAAGAGCGACACAGCCAGCGACAAATGACACGCAGACAGTGTCACCCATCACCGTGCCGTCCTGTGTCTGAAACTGAAAGGGAGGGGAGAGGGTGGCGAGACGAGGCGAGTGGGGAGTTATCAGGGCCTAGGCCTAGATCTCCCTACCTTTCTTCACCGCCTGTGCCTGCGCAACAGGGCTAGCCTAGTTTAGATCCCGGCCACGGCCGGCCTTCTCGCTACCGCTAAGCAAGCTACTCATGAACGGCGCGAGAAGAGAAATCTTGGCCACGGCCCGCCTTCTCGCTGAGCGAGCTGCTTGTGAACGGCGCGAGAAGAGAAATTGGACACGAGATGAGAAGCACTTCTCGGGACCGGTACCGGTGAAAAGTAGGTCAGCTTCTCAGTTTTCTCGCTCGGGAAGAAAAAAGCGCTTCCCGCCCGTTTCTACTTGTAAGAGCTTACCTCTACCTTATCTTGAATAGTGGTCCCAATTGGTGGGTCTCTTTAAATACTCTAAAGTCTATTATCAATTTCCTTGTCTTTTTTACATTAAAGTAAAAGTGAGAGGTTATCACACCAATTTGCAAATATACATTTACAGTGTCATTGTATTCATTCTCATTTGCCGTCCTATTATTACAGTTGAAACTGTCTATATGTCTATGATGACAATTACACATTGTTGAGGAGAACAGAGCTACAGTGGTTGTCTTAAACAGGTAGCCATATATCTCACAGTGTCATAATGTAGCCATTAGGGCCACTAATCGGCCAGCTATTGCTATGATGAGCCCTTCAATATTTGTTTACCCTGATTGTGCTCAAATTCTTGTCAAACTCAAGTAGGCCCTCTAGCTCGGACGGGCGGAGGGAGAGACTCCATACATTCGAACGGGCGGACGGACGGAAGGGAGCGACTCCTTCCATTGCATACAACTTACAACCCCCTGCCCCACCAAAAAATAATTTAAAAATCACCCTCCTGCCTCACATTGTAGCTAGGCGTTCATGGCGGAAATTTCTCCTCCCCCCCCGGCCTTTCGATAATTGGAACGTACACAGTGTGCCCCACGCACGAGGTGAAAGGTTACACACATGATGTACTACGTCACCAGCCTCTCTCACTCCCTGTGGCACCGCTAGTGGCTTGAAACATTAGGCCTATTTAAAAAACAATAGACCGTGGGCCTAACACCGTGTCGAGTATCTCGTCTGCTAGAGTTCGTCCATTTGCCCGCCCACCCACTGAATAAAATCGTGGAGCGGACCCAAAAAACAAAATGACTTGAGGTTCGCAGTTCGCTCTCATGGACATCTGTTACCTGCTCGCTCTGACTGAATCCGCGAGTAACGAACCCGTCCGTCCGCTCGCCCCAACTCTAATGTTAAGGCCTATTGATTGAACGCAGTGGCTACGTTCACGGCGCCGTGAACGTAGTCTGCAGGCTAGGTTCACGGAGCCGTGAATGTAGTTGGCAGGCTACGTTCACGACGCCCTGAATGCAGTTTGCAGGCGCTGTTGAGGCTACGTTCACGGCACTCAAGCTTCGTTTAGACGGAGCGTCCACTGCCGGTTTAAGGCATGAGGCGGGGGGAATTTTGAAATTCGTTATGAAGAAGAAACTAAGCTTACAAATGTGGTAGCATCATTGGGTAGCATCAATAAAAATAGAGTGGAGAATCAAGTCATGAGGTAAAATTTTGAAAATTCTTTTGTGTTGCTAAGGTAACGCCTGCCATATTGGAATGTCATATATAGAAAGTGCACACATTTCTAAAAAATTCCATCATAAGGTGATAAATGATTTTAAATGTTACAATAAGTGGTTTTGCAGCCTTCCGTGGCTGTTTTAGAGGATGGACTTTGCATGTTTGATGTAGGAGGAAAAACTTTCCCAGAATCGAGGTCCTAAATATGGGAATATTTTGACCACAACAATCTCAGATCCAAACAACGGATTAAATTTATAATAAAATCATTTATTCAAGATTTTTTCTGACGTCACTACTTATTATACTAGAATAATGTTTCATCTATCAGTATACCGAAAATTATGACGATATCTTAACAACTTTTCGCCTGATAGATTTTTGTGTCTCCCCCCCCCCCCCCCTGAAAGAGCCCAATTTGAGAGAAAACTCCTAAAAGTTTGGACGTGCAAAACTTACTGTAAATAGTAAACGTAGTCTGTTATACAGTTGCGTCCAAAAGAAACTTGAAAATGTAATCACCCAGTCATCGTGTTAAAGCCTTGCATTACCCACTCATGCAGCATTCCAATTTAAAGCTAAATAAATTCTTCAGCATCTGACTCTTTAATATTTAATCTATTTTAAGAGACGCCCGAGATATTGTCACTCAAAATTGACCCTAAAAAAATAAGGCTTGGCAAAATTGTGCGAAATCAAAGAAAAGTAAAATTGTCTTTGCGCATTTAGTGAAGAGTATCAATACTGATCGAATGGAGATATATTGAATGCCCAATGAATGGAGAATTGTGTCTTTGCAATAAACAATATTTTATTACGATATTTTGTCACGATAGTTTCAAACATAACGGAAAACAGAGCAATCACAGATACCACACAAAACTTCGACTCAACACTAATTGTGTTCATTGTTATTTTGCTTAGGAACCATTGGCTTTGTGTTGTGCACGAAACCTTTAGGCATCAATTCTATTTAGTTTTGGACATATTTATCAGTCATTTCATTTCAAATGTCACAGAGAGTTGCAAACAAAGGGTCTGAATTGGGGGCAAAGTCGTTTTTCTTCAGCCGCTGTTTCATGGGACTTCACATACCTGTAGGATTCATATCGGGGCTGTTTGCTGCTAACTATTCGAACGTTGACTTGATTTGGTTTTTTAAGAATTCTTTAATGGCATTGGCCCTATGAGAAAATGCCGTGTTTCGCATGGGGATGACTACTTGAAAAACACCTTGACGAAAATAAGGGTAAGACATGAAGCTCCAGCACTTGCGTGATGTAGTCCACTAAACCAAGGCATCCGGTGATTCTCACGAGAGCGACTTTGTTCATTCCACCCCATGCCACCCAAAACCATGGCAGTTTCGTGGCCTCTGTTCCTCACTGACAGATGTTCAAATCTTACAGGGTCTGTGTGCAAAAGAGGTTTCGGGCTCGGTAAGAAACCAACAGCTCCTGAACAAAAACAAAATTAAAACTAATGAACGCAAGTAACTGTTACGTCCAGGTTTTGTGAGGCATTTGTAACTGCTCTGTTTTTCAATCTTCATTAGTTTTCTGTTCAGCTCTTCGTTGTTGGTGTTTTGGAAGCTCTGAAGTGCATTGAACATACTTTTGCTAATGCGATGTGTGTAGTTATCTTTTACAATTTCAAAGTCATAACTGCCATAAAAAATTGAGCATCGGATGAGATTTGGCATCTCCGTCACACAGTATCCTGCTGTGTACTAAACCTCAGTGTTCCGCTGATTTTGTGAATATTGTTTCAGCCTCCATAGCTTTTGCACTTCCTTGTAAATTTTGCTGACACTTTATTTGATGGTGGGTTCTCAAAGGGAGAATAAAAAAGTGCATCTCCGTCATTGTCACCTACTTCTTTATCTTTCTTCATGGGTGAAATTTTCTTTTTGACAATGGGGTGAGGAGCAAGTTCATCCTCATCTAAAGTTTCCTCTTCACTATTATATATCACTCTCACGATATGTTTCATCACTATACCTACACCACTAGTGCCTATCAATGTTCGAACTGTCGTGTGATGTGCTGAAAAATGTCGATGCCATTGTAGTAGGCTGTGGTAATCTTGAGAAATTGAGGCTAGGACATCAAAGTATTTTGGAAAGGTGTTCAAAAAGCATTTTCTGAGCTCTATAACTGTTGAAACTGGGGTACTGCCGAAACAGCACTCTCATCTCGTTGATTAGACGCTAGCATCAGCATCAGTAAATGTCATTGAAAGAGACGATTATGAGGCTGAAACAAAAGAATGAATTGAGTGTAGGAACTGATCTAAAATCTCTGTCTGTCTTTCAGTCTGTCAGTCTGTCAGTCTGTCAGTCTGTCTGTCTGTCTGTCTGTCTGTCTGTCTGTCTGTCTGTCTGTCTGTCTGTTTGTAAATATAAACACAGGCACAGTTTTGGTGTAGAACAAAATAAGACAGTAAAGTTGAGTAAAGGAAACATTGACCAATAATGAGTTTCTCAGAAAAGGAGACCTGGCAATAATATTGAGAGCTTTCGTTTTCAGTTCTTGTCTCGTAGTTGCAAGAAATAAAAATAAAGATAACCGTGCTATCAACTTTCCTTATCTCTTTACTGTATAAAAATGCATACATGATATGAAATACGCTTGCAAATAGTTTGAATGAAAGAATGAATATCTTGTTCTGAGCCAAAGACATAATACGCACACACAGAGAGAGAGAGAGAGAGAGAGAGAGAGAGAGAGATAGATAGATAGAGAGAGAGAGAGAGAGGGGGAGGGGGCAGAGAGAGAGAGAAGGTTGGGGGGGGGGAGTTTGGGGCGCGACACGGTGGGGGGCGGTGGGAGAAAGAGAGAGGGAGAGAGAAGGGGGAGGGGGGGAAGACAGACAGACAGAGACAGAGAAAATAGAGAGGGGGTGGGGAGAACGAGAGAAGGAAAGAGAAAGGGGAGAGACAGACAGAAAGAGAGAGAGAGGGTGTTTTCTATTATGATAAGAATTATTCCCGTCATTTTCTCTCTGCGTCGGTTCCCAGGCTTTTTCGTTTTCCTTCATCTCATGGGATGGAACATTTGAAGCTGGCCAAAATATTAAATATATACGTCACTGTAGTCACTGACTAAAACCGGCAGTGGACGCTCCGTCTAAACAAAGCTTGAGTGCCGTGAACGTAGCCTCAACAGCGCCTGCAAACTGCATTCAGGGCGCCGTGAACGTAGCCTGCCAACTACATTCACGGCGCTGTGAACCTAGCCTGCAGACTACGTTCACGGTGCCGTGAACATAGCCACTGCGTTGATTGAAACCTGTTGAGCACACACAGGTCTGAGTAATTATTCCGGTTTAAAATACATGATGCACTGTCAGTAAGGCACCTTTTGATTTCGTCTCAAACACAATTACTTTAGGTAATCTAGTGCAAACTAAAAATTTACAATTCAGTAGGCCTATTTTTTGCTGTTTGTCAGTCTAGCCACGGCAAGCCCAGCCGTCTAGGCGTCCTTAAGTACGGCTATCCTGCCAGTCTAGCTGTACTAGCCTAGCAGACTAGCAGTCATTAAGTATAAAGTTATTCCTCCTAACAGGTAGGGTTTAAAAGGTTACGGTGTAAACACTAAGGTCCCGAACACCATATTATATATATGTATCACTGACTCTAGCCTTTAAAATCAAAATCTCGATTTAACAAACTTACTTTTCTCTATCCTGTGTAAAAAAAATAGGGCCTAGACCTAGAACTCAACTAGGTATTATAGATCTAGATAGGCCTAATCTAGATCTAGAGCTAACTCATTAGAGTAGTAGTCTTCAAGAGTAGATTCTAGATTCTAGTTGTAACTAGGAGGTAACTAGGGCTACCTCCACTTACCACAGTAACTCTTCAAGAGCTCTTGAAAGCTGAACGTATTTATTCTACACGGAACTATCACTCAGTTGACGACTGGATCCACTAAAATGATGGTTTCAGTCATCCAATTCTTGGAAGAAAGGACCACAGGTCTCAGTCAGCACCCATATAAGGCTTCCCACCCATAACGTAACAGCGTAAGCCCAGCTTGACACTTCCCCACAGTTGTCTACTGACTACTGAACTTATATTTTTTCAGATCTCTCAGGACTACTTCTCAATCTCTTCTCAGACTGTGATTCTCAACTTGAGTCATACACATGCAGGCTCAAATGGACTGTACCTTACAACATCATGTAAATATAGTATAGAGATCTATTACAGAACAGGATAGAATGTTTTTCCTCCCTCACTCGGCACTCGGCTCACAGCTCGGCATTCATTCGGCTTCCTTTTATTCTGTACTCGGTATCGAACTATAATTGCTATGCAAACAATACCATCTACAGAACAGTTTGACTACTTTTTAACAGCGAATGTTTGTCGCCTCTACTCTTTACATTTCATATAGAAACATAATATACACATAATATCAATGTCGAGTATAACATCAAATACTTCATATTGCTGTTATAGTATCTCAGTTTTCTAGAGAACGAATAGTAGTTCTCTAAAACCAGCACAAAAATATCCGTCTTAATGCATTCTAAACTACTCGACTACAACACGCATAAACTTTATGATTTTGGACCCTAAAGAGTTCTCTTACGGCAGCAAACAAAAATTCGTGGAAACAGGCACGCAAAACAAACATTAGGATAACGGGTGTTATAAAAATAGAAAGTCTGACAGGTGAATCATTCCTGAGCATTGTCATAATATTGTAGAGAGACTTCGTCATCTGTTTCTTTGAAAGTGTGCATCTAGACAAAGCCTATGCTGTAATTAATGCTACAACACATTCCCTTTATTTATGATGAAACTGAAAGACTCAATTAACTCAATATTTGGGAAAAGAAAAAGAAAATACGACAGTGTGGTATATATAGATTCTATATCGATTTTAGGCTAACAATTGTACTATTGATTGTTATTTTCAGAAGAGAAAAATCCTAATAACCAATTTAAGTAGAGAAAGAGATAAGTGGGATGCAACCGAGGTAGTTAATCTCTTTTCATTGTACAATGTTTATGAACAGTTTTGTAATATGAAAACAGGGGAAAAACCAACTCAAACATTTATTATTATAGATCTAGTAATTATAAAAAATGATAATGAGAAAGACCATTTCAATAACACCCACTCTCTGGAGGTTCCAGGCACATCAGCAAAATGGAAATCAATTATTATATTATTATCATTATTATTATTATTAACGTCCGTCCGCTGTTCAGATGTGCTAAGCCCAAGGACCTAGGACCTTACAACAAATTACTGTATAACTTCCTTGACAAAGCCCAAAACTTGGGGGGGGGGGGGGGGGGAGATATTGCAGTTTCTTCATCTGCAGTATATGTTGCATGTAGGCATACCTATTATTTGGCCAAAATTCAAGTTCTTAATGTAGAAAAAGGCAAGAAAAAACTCCAAATGCTTACAGCTACATGTTTAAAAAATCAAATAAATTTTCTCTCTTGATTGAAAAGTTTGCTTTCTGGGCTTCTTTCTTTTTCATTAGAACAACTTTCAACTAGCGGACGTTAGGCCTATGCTCTCCCTTGAGTAAACGAGTAGAAGAGTCCAGGAGGAAACTGCTTGAACTGCACGATATTATAATGAAAGCCATGAGGGGATAACTCTTGTCTTACTTGTCTCTGCAGCTGGAAAGGAAGCCCAGCTATTTTTGCACAGAAACAACCAAAAAATTGTGTTTGTTAAATTGTTTAGGCCTGAATTTTGCGTCTCTGTAGTCCAACGAGGACAACATGTGCTGAAAGGTACGAGATTTTTAGTATAGTGTTTATTTTTTAAAATATGCATGTACTATGAAGAGGAATAGAGGCCTTTCTCTAATGTTTTATACTGTTGACCACTGTTTGTGTTGTGGTTGTGTAGTCTGTGTTAACCTTCCTCCTAATCGTTTCATATGACACTAAGCCAGGCAAAGGCCACCTCCCGGGTGAGAATAGCACAGTTGTTGGGGAGGCCTCTCACCCGAGAAAGATATCTATAAGAGAGAGAGAGAGAAGAAGTAGCGAGAACTTCCTGGCAAAATCTTATGGTGACCGACGTAGTTGTAGCATCTTTGTAGACAACCCACTCCACCGTGGTACTAATGTAAACAAACTTTCCAGGACTCTTGTGTTGAAAGCGTGCTAAATTTTATTTGCGGGCAGTGAGAGAGAGAGAGAGAGAGAGAGAGAGAGAGAGAGAGAGAGAGAGAGAGAAAGGGGAGAGAGAGAGAGAGAGAGAGGGGGGGGGGGGAAGAGATATTATTATTAAGAGAGAGGAGAGAGAAGAAGAAGTAACGAGAACTTCCTTGCAAAATAAAATGGCGACCGACATAGTTCAGCTCGATTCGAAAAGTGAAACAGCTATAGATCTTTGTAGACGACCAAATTAGTTTTCTTTTACTTTTAAGGACGAGCGGGCCAGCCCAGATTTCGGTTTGTTTTCTGAAATCTTGACCTACACCAAAAGTGGGCATTGCCCTACTTTTATATGAGAAGTTTGGTTTCATTGGTGTGTATATATTTGTTTGGTTTTTATCTATATAGAGAAAACTCTCCTTGACTTTCAAAGAAACTGAACAAGGGGCAAAAACTTGGTGCCTTTTCGGTAGTTCCCACCCCCCTTATTTGAGCCTAGATCTACTTCGAGATATACGTTTGATGCGTGGCGAGCTTCTTAGATATCAAACATTTTATAACAACTGCAAAACTGCAAATTATGGTAAAATTCAGGGATGCCCCCCTAGAAACCCCCCACCTATAAATTTTTATACGGTCAGGGCCCCCCTGAAACCCCCCTACTCTTGGGGCCAAAACCCGCGAATTATAACAATTGCGGGGTGGGAACTACCGAAAAAGCGCCAAAATCTTTACCTTTGATTTTCTCAAAACAGCATATTTTGGAAAAGCCCCCTTGTGCTTAAAAGTGACTACCAAATAACATCTCCGCTTGGGAGTCGTTTCTACCTATTTTGCTTCTCAACCAAGGCAGGTATTGAGACGTAGTTGGCGGATGCTGTGATGTGGTTTGCTCCTTCTTTCCTATTAAAAATTCTATTATTATAAATTTTTATTATCTCTCCTCCTTCTTTTCTTTATGTTTTACTCTGTTGCAACGTTTCTAATCTCTGGCATCTATATTATGACCTAATTGTTTTGCAAGTGCCGTAAATCTCAGACTAACACTTTTAAATCTAGAATCTAGATGTGTGCTTTTGTCTCACAAATGGAGGGAACTGCACGCGAGTAAAGACCTGTATTCATACGTATACAGTAAGACCTGTGTTCATACAGTGGTCGTAAGGTGCCACTGGTAGCTTGTACACTTTTTTTTTCTATACAGAATGATTATTATTATTATTGTGTCGATGTATGCTTTTCTTTACTTAACGCAAGCTCAAACAATCCATAAATTCATAAAAATACGTCCATGTATCTCCTTTGTTTTTCTCCAGCTCCCAGAAAGCCTCTGTGTTTGGGACGTGAAGGTGGCACCACAATTATTGTCTCGTTGAAGGAAAAGAACTCTTCACTTCACCCTTCTCAACCCAAATGCTGCCACATGATATTCCTTGCAGTGCTAGGTGAACACTGGACCCGTGTGTGTTGGAAGCTGGCGGTTTATCTGTGATTCAGACATTTGTTTTGTTCAGGACGAAATCGTCGTGGGCTAGCCACGGACGGTCTGTTATGAGTTTATAGCTCTGTGATTGTTTGCTAATATTGTTCTCAGCCAATGAAAGAGTGATATTTTGAATAGACTCCTTCAAGGATCCTCTTCTTTAGTTGCGCAAGGGATTTTTCTCCAGCTGTTCTTATCCATAGACAGTTGTCGTTACCTAAACGGAACTTAAATAGTTGACTAGAAACGGGTTTGACGTATAGCAACCCAACTAGAACCGAATTAGCTTCCAAGAACAGAAACAATTTACGAGACGGGAAGCCAATTTGGCAAAACACAACCAGATCAAACCAGTTTCTGAGTGTCGCATTGCTACGAAATCTGAGAACCACACCGGGTTCTCCTCTTGAGAACGGAACAAGTGGTCTCCCCTAGGAGGGAGGGGATGCCCTCAGACTCGCACCAGAGCGCGGTGGGCCGAGAGAGCGGAAGCGGAAGTAAGCAGGGCGGCGCCAGGAAGAGCAGCAAGGGTTCGTCGTCTCGGGGCATGAGGCGTCACAGAAGTCACACGGACGCCGGGCGGGAGGGAGCGGCGCGATACCGCGAGGACATGGACATCGAGGGGATCCTGCCTCCTCCCTTCAGGTAATTGCACACTGCACACTGACGACCCACTACTGCACACTGACGACCCACTACTACACACTGATGACCCACTACTACACACTGACGACCCACTACTACACACTGACGACCCACTACTGCACACTGACGACCCACTACTGCACACTGATGACCCACTACTGCACACTGACGACCCACTACTGCACACTGATGACCCACTACTGCAAACTGACAACACACTGCACACTGACGACCCACTACTGCACACTGACGACCCACTACTACACACTGATGACCCACTACTGCACACTGATGACCCACTACTGCACACTGACGACCCACTACTGCAAACTGACAACACACTGCACACTGACGACCCACTACTGCACACTGACGAGACATTACTGCACACTGACAACACAGTACTACACACTGACAACACACTACTACACACTGACAACACACTACTGCACACTGGCGACGCACCACTACACACTGAGGACACACCACTACACCCTGACAACACACCACTGCACTCTGACAACACACTACTACTCTCTGACGACCCACTACTACACACTGACGACACACTACTGCACACTGACAACACACTACTACACACTGACTACCCACTGCACACTGACGACACATTGCACACTGATCGGCTGTCCCTGTCCAGTGTTTTGGACTTGAGTCCTAGTCTGAGTAATTATATTATATTATGAAAAACTCGAGTACTTGAACATAGGCTCAATATGTTATTTGCTGAAAATGAATGAATAATAGCAATGATACAACAGTAACGAAAAGACGCAGTACGGTAAAAGCAACAAACGGAAATGGGAAAACTATTGAGATGATTTGAATAATTCACAAAGAAAAGAAAAACAGAAAACTATTGAGATGATTTGAATAATTCACAAAGAAAAGAAAAACAGAAAAAAATACTGTAGGCCTACAGCAACGAACGAAGGCTATGAAAATTGAAATGTCTTTGTTTCTATTAAAAGCCACCACTGGGTGAAGAAAGTACAGTGAGACTCGGATATAATGAAATCGTCGGGCCTGACCTTCAATTTCGTTAACGAAGTGGCTAGCCGTACTTAGATCTAGGTATGGTCCTATCGACTCGAACCTGTTGAGCACACAGGTCTCATTAGATCTAGATCTAGTAATTATTCAGGTTTAAATAATGCAAGTCAGAAAGGCACCTTTTGGTTTTGTCTGAAATACAAATACTTTAATTTACGCTTTGCAAACTAAAAATTTCATTTACAATTCAGCCTTAAGTACGGCTAGCACCCCCCCCCCCCCCCCCCCGTTTGTGTCGGGGGTGGTTTGTTTTAGCGCCAGTACCAGCTGGCTGCCTGTTGCGTGTTGTGGTGGGACCCAGCACCCCCCCCCTTTTTTTTAAATTTGGGGGGCCCGGGGTGTTTTTTAAACCAAAAATGTGGTCTAATTGGCAAGTTTTTTCTCCAACATAAGACGAAAAATCTTGGGTTTTTTGCCGGAGGGAGTTTTTTTTTGGTCCGGGGAACAAAACAAAGCACCCCCCCCCCCCAAAAAAAATTAAAGAAGAAAGGGCCCCCCCCCCCCCAATAACCCAAAAAAATTCCCACAAAGCATTCTTCCCCCCCCCCCCCCCCCCCAAACCACAAGTGTCACGAACGCAATGCTGTCACAGTGGGGGCCACGGATATACATGACAAATATGTGTACGACGACAAAATGTAAGTCTGTACAACTACAATATGTAAGCCTGTACAACTACAATATGTAAGCCTGCATATTACATATACATGTAGTTATGCTGTCACAGTGGGGGCCACGGAGATGACAAATATGTGTACAACGACAACATGTAAGCCTGTATATACATATTATAGTTATGCTGAGGTCCCTGGGGCCGTGTGGAGTGTGTGTGTGCCACTTGTTGTCTTATCTCAGTCTATCTCAATATCACGTAGCTGTTTTTAGCATCTTGAAGGATCTTGTTATAATAAAAATACAACAAAACATTGCAATGGCAAAAGATTGTTTGTGGGTGGTTGGCGGGTGCTCTGGTGTGGTTTGCTTCTTCTTTCTTGTCAAACATCTATCATCCTTATCTGCCCTTCTTCTTTTTTTATGTTTGTTGCTCTCTTGTAACAGCTCTAATCTTCTGGCGCTCATATGACCTTATGCAGTTGCGAGCGCCGTAAAACTTTTACTAAAACTAAACTAAAAGATAGTTTCAATAAAATGAGCCCGATCCTGGAAAATTGAAAGGTGTCAAAGACTTCTATAATAAAAGTTATAAAATGCTGTGTTTGGTCAGCCTATCTCACAGAATTCTACGTAGAATTCTGTGGCCTATCTATACTGCTGTGAATGCTGGACAATCACTTAAGACCATGAAAATAAAATACTCGTTGAAGCGACAGAATAACATCATGGTTTCCTAGGAGACTGTTGAGTATTTTCTGGAAGGAAAAGAAATTAAATCAGGTAGTACTTGAAGAAGCCTGCGTGGACCGCTCGTTGATAAAAACGAGTAAGAGGTGACATAATATTATGCAGTTTCTGAGACACTTGAATAGACATAGAAGCCTTGAACATCTAGCTCTTACTGGTAAAATTGAAGGCAAACGAAACAGGTGTAGACCCAGAGCAGCTTACTTGGAGAGCATAAACAGAATGGGTGACGGGAAAAGATCAGGATTTCGATATACGTGTAATATTTCTGAGAGCATCCGAGCTAAGGAATGAATGTCTAGTCTAAACATGATGGCCGATGTCTGTCTCAGATCTGGCACTTGGTGATTGTATCGCGCTGTGGTCCTCCCGACCCTGTTGTACAGTGCTGAGACCTGGACGGCCTACCAAAGCCATGCCAAGACGCTTAATTTTTTTCCACATGGAATATCTCAGGAGAATTCCTGGCACCAAAATGACAGGATACAGTAAAAGACACCTTTATTATATA